TATATATATATATAAACTACTGTACAAATTATATCAAATTCAAAAAATTAAATACAATGATTATTCAATGTTTAAAAAAATGTCAGTTTTAAGGAGAATACTTTCAATATTTTCCAACTTTCTTAAAATTTAAATGGATGAGTCATTACATCTTTTTCTAAACAGACCTTAAACAACCTTTTCTAAATGGAAAAGTCTACCGAACAACATGCATTTTTCGAAAATTAAATATATTCTCCAAACCAAAGATACTATTTTGTAGAGTAAATTGTTTCTTCGCTCATTTCCTCCATAAACTATATTAACTATATTATATAAAATTATACTTAATTAATAAATAAATTAAATAAGTATAGACTAGTTAAGAATATTTCTGTTTTATTAAATTTTTGACAGTTACTGCTCTAAATTACTTTGTAAGTAAATGTAAGTTCCCAAGTAATGTGTAAATATAAATAATTTAAACGGTATGAGTAATGAAACAATTCTTGAAATTAAAATTATAGATGTGATTTTTTACAACTTAAAATTTATGCAATTAAATCATTATATGTATTAAATGAATTTTTATGTATTTGAGCAATTTTTTTTAGTACAAACGTTTAACCATAATCATCAAAACATCCTGCTCTTTCTCGTGTACAGATACAATTTGTTGTATTTTTTAAAAATTTTTTTCGCTTAATTCTTATTTTAACTACGAAACGTAAACCACAGAATTATGTAATCACAAGGTAGATGGCAGCACTTTTCTCTTACCTTGCTATTTTGCGGTAGTTTGCTATAACACCAGAAGATGGAAGCACTTGAAGCAATATCTTCAAGCAATTTCAAATCAAGAGCCTCCAAAACGGCTCATTTAAAAGATTTGTTAGAAAATCTTTATAAAAAAATATAGCCACATAATTTTGTAACAATTACTGATAATTGCTTTTATTTACTTAAGAAATTTATTAAGAATTACGTCCACTTTTTAGCAAATTTCTAGTAACATACTTTATTTTTTCTTTGATATTTACCAAATAGGATCGTGGAAAGATGATTCAAAAGACCTCACTGCATCGGGAGCTGATAGTAAAGCTTCTATTGCCGGACTTCTTCCTGCGACAACTTATCATTTCCGAGTAATGGCAGAAAATTCGTTTGGAAAAAGTGATTTTAGCTCTTATGTATCAGCGACAACTGATCTAGAAGGTGAAAAAAATTAAAACATTATATAATACTATCATTTCGGGGACATAATAACTTTAATTCAAATGTTCTACTTTTTGTGCTTATAATATCGAGTTTCTTCTTGTAGGAAATCTTGTTTTAAGCAATTTTCAGTGTACAACAAACTTAAAATCTACTGCGAACTTTTCATTGTCTGAATAATTATGATTAACGTTAATAGTCAATTGATACAAATTTAGTTTCTTATAATTTGATTATTGAAAATTTATGTTAAGTTTCGTTTTTTATTGAAAACTACTTTTTAAATTTTAAAATTACTTTTTTTAAAATTTGAAATCATTGTAGTGAACAAACTAAAATATTCAAACGAGGGACACCATCTGTTTAGAAAATACTTGGTCTACGGTTTAATACGTATATCTATATGATTGTTCAAAGAGATGAAAACCATTTTGGTACTTTTGATAAAAGCGTGATAAAAACAAAACAGCTCATTTTTTTGTAATTAGTTAATTTCTGTTTGTCATTTGAAAGCAACTGCTTTTACTTTGCCTTTTAAAACAAGCATTGAATAGCTTAAAATAAATTGCTTAGTTTTTTTTCTGTAATTAGACACTTTACAATTTTTCATTTAGATTGAACTATTCTCTTTTTGACTTTTGAAATAAGCAATTGTATAATGATTCTGAAATTTTGCCACCGCTATATAAAAAACACATTTTTTAGAAAAAATAACATTAATGCGTTATTTCCATTAGTGTAGATATTTGTGAAAAAAGTAAATAGTTTATTTTTACAGCATGTTCTTGAAATGGGAGTTTTGGTAAAAAAAAAATTCCAATTCAAAATCTGTAGCAAATAGTGGATGTGTATCCATGACTCTTCAGCGGAGGAGGGAAATATTTTTCCCTAAAATCTTGAATCCTGCATGACTATATATATATATTTATATGTATACAACTGTATAACTATATATATANCTTTCGTTATCAACAATGTGATGTGATATATATATATATATATATAAGGAACACACTACAACAAAGGAAGGGACAATTTCAGTTTTTGACATTTGTTTGACATTTCTTAAGAAATACTGAAATGATTATTTTGTACTTATAGAGGTGTTTAGTTCATGCGATTTTTCATTCTCAGCAATAACGTTTCAAGCTTTCAGAGCTTTAAGTGACGGACAATAAACTACAAAAGTAGACAAGTATTTTTGAACACCTTATGCCAAAAAATGAAACAATAAGCTTGTGACATGTATCGATTGCTTTGGTCGTTATTTGCATAAAATGTTTGATCATAAAATTTTGTAAACTTCGCTTTTTTATTTATTGAAATATGGACGTTTTTATAAATAAATATTTTTTTGTCTTACGATTTTTTTACTATAACTTTAAAAGTAGTCAATCAAATTAAACAAAATTTTTGAGGTAATTTAAAGTCATTAAAAAAAATTGCTTCAAATAAAAAAATTTTTGTCTTATGTTTTTTTTTTCACTATAACTTCAAAAGTATTCAATAAAATTAAAAAAAAATTTTGAGGTAATTTAAGTTCATTACAAAATTATTGTTTCAAAATTTGGAAAACATACATGATCATTAAATTAATCCTTTTATAATTCTCATTTAGGGAAAAAAACTTGAAAATTCTTCTGAATTTTGCGGTGAAGCTTCTTTGAAAAATAATTAAAAAAATGTTTGAGCAGAATATTTTAAATTTAAAAAGTTTCAAGAAATTTTCCAAGCAGTTTCTGTAATTTTTATAAAAAAACTCAAAACGAGGAGGGGTTTTTCCCAGATTTATTTTGTATCATCATTAGAGTAATTTTAGTAACAGGTGATAATACCTTATAATCGTCTGTACACTAAAATGTGACAGCATAAGAAAACGATCTTGTAAAAGAAAACATATTTTTATGAGTATGATTCCTCACAATGCCGATGTCATTTTTTATAAATTTTGTTTCATGATACAAAACGATCATAATGATTTTATAGTAATGCACCCTCATGTTTTCGCCTCAAAGTAGTGAGTAATTCCATTAATAATTTTATTGACAAGGCTAAATAAATAAATAAGTACAATGATCAATATATTATATTTACTTAATTTCATTTAGTGCCTGGAGGACCCCCTTTAAATGTTCAGGCCGATGCAGTTGGATCACACACACTAAGAGTAACATGGCAAGTAAGCATAACTCATTTTATTAAAATATGACAACTTTTATTATTTATCTTACATTATTTTCATTAATTGTTTTCCGACCTTCCCCCCCCCAATATATTGTAGCATATTGAAAGTATAGAGTAGCTTCAGTGCTCATAAAATTTACTGAGTTCCTAAGAATGGTATGTTTAATATTCGTGATGTTTAGTATGAACTCGAGATATTATAAAAAATGTCAGAAAAAAATTTCTTTTTAAACGTCTGAAATTGTATAGTATTGGGTTGTTCGGAAAGTAATTTCGTTTCTTTTTTTTTTGGGGGGGGGGGATGAAAACCAATTTTCGTATAATGAATAAATATTTCATCAATTTATATATTGGCTATTCTGGTCCAACACTTTTTGCCTTCTTTCTGGTATCTGGCATGATTCCACGCTCATAAAATTTTTGGTCTTCGCTGTCAAGAGACTAATCCAGGTGATTTTCGACCTCTTCATTTGAAGTAAAGGTTTTACAGTCCAAAAAATTTTGCAATAACCGGAACAAATAATAATCCAAAGACGCCAAATCTGGAGAATATGGTGGGTGTGGCAGTGTATCCCATTCATGATGTAAAAGCTTTTAACGAGTGACCAATCTTGTATGAGGTCTCGCATTATCTTTGGGGAACACTATACTTTTTATGTTAATAATTTCTGGCCTTTTCTGTTGAAGTGCATCATTCAGTTTGTCCAGCTATTGACAGTAAAATTAATTGTTGTGTTATCCGGTAGAAGCTAAAAAAAAACTATTCCTTTGAAATCACACCAAACAGACAGCATCACCTTTTTTTGAGCGATATTGGCTTTCGAAATGCTTTGAGACGGTTCATATTTTTTGCTTCGTGATCTCTTGCGTTTGACATTGTTATAGACAACCCATTTTTCGTCCCCAGAAATGATGCGCTTCAAAAATGGAATGGATATTCGAATGGACCAACAACTACTGCGCAGAATTAATTGAACTTTTTCACACACTAGCCTTGCTATATCAGCTCTCAAAACATATAATGATAATGCTGCTTAAGTGTGAAATTGGGTTTAAAAAAATACAATTAATTCCTCTGTCGGAAAAACTAAATTACTTTCTGAACAACCCGATATATTTTCGATTCTCTTTTATCTTATAACTCAGATAGAATATTTCTCCTTATTTTTTCTTCTTTTTTGCAAAACATTTTTATTAAAAATCGAGATATTGTAAAAACAAATATTTAAAATAAAATTATTAATGATCCAAAATTTTAAATATGTTATGATTTACTATGACTTGAAATATCGATAGATTAAAATCTAATTTGTTAATGAAAAAATATGTTTTTATATTCTAATCTAAAATTTCAATGTGATGCAATTTAATTATAATGTTATATCTATTGTTAAACTTAGCATTGATTTTTGCAGCCTCCAGCACTCGAATTACAGAATGGAAGATTAACTGGGTATTATGTTGGCTACAAAGTTCATGGTTCTTCAAAACCTTATACCTACAAGACGCTTGAAATTACTGATGCCTTTCGCAGTGAATGCTTGATTACAAATCTAAAGCGACTTACTACCTATAGCGTCATAGTTCAAGCATTTAATCGTCGTGGTGCGGGTCCTCCTTCAGAAGAAATTAAAGTTAAAACAAAAGATAATGGTACCAAATATTTTTTTAAAATGCAATCTATTTTGTTTTCTCATGATTAATTTTTTTTAAAAACAATTTTGATAATATCATTTTAACAGAGAATTATTATTTATTTTAGTTAATGAAATTCTTTGCCTACTTTTTAGTGTCTATTGACGTATTTATCTCTTATATAAATTGTTATTTTTTATTTATTTTGGAAGTGTAACTTTTTTATGTAGAATCAGAATTGAAACAATCACATCCAGTTCCTGAAATTCATCACATATATTCTTGGTATCTTAATGTAATACTCAGCATAATATTAATTATTATATGAATTGTTTTTTTATTATTATTATTGAATTATTAGTGTTTTATATAAAACTGGAAATAAAACGCAACATTCATTTATTAAAAACACTCACATATATTTCCGATAACTAGGCATACTTGGTACAATATTAACTGCAATAGGAATTGTTTTTTATTATTTATTTTTGAAATGTACATGCTTCCTATAAAGCTATAAGAAATCAAAACAATCATTTATTAAAATTCAACTGATACTTTATCAGTAACATTTCTTCAATCAAGAAAAACAACACATTGACAAGTTGCGTCAATGGTATCTTATTTCCAAATTTACAATGTTTTTCATAAAAAGTATTGTTAAATTTTTCTAATAATTCTTAAAAACAAAATTTATCATATGATAATAAAAAATAATAATAATTATTAAATAATAATAATTATTAATAATTATTAAAAATAATAATAAATAATAATTATTTGAGAGGGATTTGTTGATGGATATATTTAAAATCCAAACACTTATGATAATATCTGAAATATGCTAGTTATATTTTTGATGTAAAAAACTATAACTTAATGTTGCTTTTTTATTATATGAGAGTGAAAACAATAAATTCTTAATCCAAGAAAGATATTTAAATTTAAAAATTTTGAAAAACAATAATTTAAGTTAATGTTCATTTTTTTCATATTTTAAATTTCAGATCCACCTACCAATCCAATCATGAATGAGCTGGCAACCTCACACACATCAATTCAAATTGAATGGAAGATTAGACCTTCAACTTCAAGTCCTATTGAAGGTTATAATTTAAGAGTATAATGTTTTATTTCCCTTATACTTATCTAATAGTGCATATTTTTATTACATTGCGTAAACAGTGTTTTATTGACATTTTTAATACATCAGAGGTACCTGATACTAAGCATAAATTTTATATATTTTTTTTTCCTTTATTATGTCATTCATTTATACAGATATAACTCATTCCATAACCAGTGCTTTAAATTTGGGTTATTATTTCATTAATGCTTTTTCAAATTTCAATCTTATCTATAAATATTTATTTTTTTGCTAAAATGATGTATCATTGGCATGGATAAAATTCTGGTTGCTCAACCGTATTTGGTGAAAACAGTCAGCAAACAATTTTTATCACAGCTCTTATTCTGAATACACTCTCTTTTATAGTTTATTGTCTTATTAAATAATATTTTTTCAACCATTTTTCCGAAAAATTTCTAACAGTGTAAAAGTGTTATTAAATTTAATATTAATTTTTTCTCTGTAATTTTATACCATTGAAAAAGAGTTGCTTATTTTAAGAGTGTTCCATCATTTGTTCAATAATTTACGTTTATATTATTTTAAAATTTACACGAAATGTAGACAATTCGAGTTTTTTTAAAAAAATAATTACATTATCAAAATCTTACAATAATATCTACACTACAAAACTGAAATCTTATTTTTTTTCCTTAATAAAATCTGTTATTGAATTTCTCTCTAATTAGTGAGTATTTTTGTATTACGAAATATAATTTTTCATCAAAAAAGTCAGATAAATTTGTTTAAAACTGATTACCTAAATACTTCAATAAATAAATCTTGATATATATTATGTTACTTTGTTTAGTCAATTCTTAAAAAATTAAACTTACTGAGATTAAGAGTCGTGCGTTTGTGATTTTAAAACTGATTTGATAAAGTACATTCGTATTGTATTATATTTGGAGAATTATAAAAAAAAGCAATATGTTTTATCTGCCATCAATTTAACCAGTTATTTTTATTATTTTTTAAATTCTAGAATTGAATTTTAAGCATTACTATTTTTTCAAAAACCATTTATATTTTGTAACGATGACGTTCAACTCATTTCAATTATACAAAAATTAGTTAAAAACAAAAATGTCTCAAGTGTTAAATATTTTAAATTTATTATAAAATATTTTCAAGTATTATTAATTGGAAAATATTTCCAATTGTTATGATTTTAATTATTTCAACATTCAAAAATTATTAAAGCTTTAAGCACAAACTCTGTGTAAAATAACATTTTTTTCGGAGAAATATTTTTCTTCATATTCAGATACACTAAAATTTCGTAATCTAGTCAGAAAAATATTTTATGGATATAATATGAACAAATTAATAAATTTGGAATAAAAAAACTTTTTTTAGATTATTTATTTTTTAAACAAAGAAATAAACTTTTATACTCATTTTCAACTGTATATTCTAAAGCTAACTCTCACGCATACTATTTTAATCATCGTTCTTTTTTAATTTTTCCGCACATCTCCTTGATACGGAGCTAACTTGGAGCTGTCATGGAATTAATTATTGATACCTGCAAAAACATTTAAAAACTGGGACTAAATTGTTATAAAATAAATCCAATATAATAAATAATATACTAAAATGTCACAAATTTTGCAAGTAATTAATAACTTTGCCTAATTACTTAACCTAATTTAGTAAATAATTACCTTAAAAATTTATACGTATTTGAACGTATATTAGTGTGAAACGATCAATTAGTTTATCTTCGCTAGCACCACAATCTTATGTATATTTTAAGGCCATGAAATTATTAACTCGTTTTAGCCCGTGCTTTTGAAAAGGAACTTGGAAGAAAAATATACCTTCAAAAATGCATCACTTTGTCGATAAAATTGATAATATGTATGTTTTAAAACCGTTGTTGAACAGCCCACCCAATTTTGAGTTTACGTTTACCAATGTTCAACTCCGTAGCCTGGTAATTGCAAACTCAATCCAGAGTAAAAGGGAACTCGTGGATGATATATTGGGGGAAATTTGTTTTTGCGAAAGATATTTTGATGGACATTTGCTTTACATTATTATATTTATTTGATGGTATTTGCTTTACATTACGCGGAAATCTTCCGCAGGTAGCCTGCCGGCAAGGGGACTGATATCCATGATCCGTCTGACACTGAGGGTATTTTAAGTCAGCACTGCGATCGGTGCGAACCGAGTTCTGAATTCGTATCAATCAGTCATCGCTGGAATTCAACCCCGGGTCACATCATTGGGAGGCGAGGGCTCTATCAAATGAGCCAAAGAATTATTTTATACTTGTACTTCATCTAAGCACAATTCCTTGCTGCCTTGCTTGTATGAGTGGAGCTGCTGAAGCTGTCAGAGATAGAATCCCATGTATTTATTAATTAAGAAAATGACTATAAATTTAAATTATGTGCATGTTTATCAAAAATATAATATTTATCTTAATTATCTTTAAATATATTCTTAATTACAAAATAAAAATAGTCTTAAGTCTAAATAATAATTAAAAGAAGTTTATATTTTTTCCTCCATATGAAGTATTGCTTTTATAATTTTTTTTCGTAAAACTAAATGTACAGTCAGGCAATAGAATATGAAAAACTAACACTTTTTCTTTTTCTGTTTTTTTACATTTCTACTTCTCCCTCTGTTACAGGAAAATCTCGGGAAAATGTAGAAAATATGGTAAAATCAATAGGTTTAAAAAATGCGCACTCTGTGAATACTACAATTCAATATTTTCTTTTTACATTTTTAATAATCAGCATAATTTGCTTAGATGCTCCAGCCACAAACTAGCAATCTAAACACCAATATAACTCAGTTTCAATGATTAGCAGCTTATTTCGCTGAAAACATTCACCAAAATATTTGAAAAAATTACTTCAAATAATCAAAAGTGGCTTTTAAAAAAAGGCATATTTGTAACACATTTTTAGTTTTGAGCACTCGAAACTATTTCTAGAAAATATTTGCTTAGGCGTTTTCTATCAAAGAGAAGATTAACAGCATTTAATTTAAGGAAAAATTCTGTTATAGGTTTCCGTTTATATTCCAAGCGAGATTTTGGAGGTTGGCAAGAAATACAAGTCCCTGGAAACAAACGAGAGCATACTTTCGAAGATTTACAATGCGGCACCCGATATCATTTTTATATGACTGCCTTTAATGAAGTCGGCGAAGGTCTTCCCAGTGATACGGTTACAGCCAAAACGCTGGGGGTAGGTAGGTACTTTTGTGATAATTTTACAATTTGAAATATTATTGAGAAATACGTTTTGTATAAGACATTAAGAAAATTTGTTGAGTAGATATTTTACATTATGTTTCAAGCTCACAAATATTTTCTATATTTTAAGAAATTACTAGCTTTCTCTGATGTTTTTCGTAGGTATATTTTCGAGAAATTGAATAGGTGGAATTAAATTTTTTGAGGAATTATATATTTACTTTAATGAATGTATGAGAAGTTAATTTAACAACAGTGGGGAACAAATTTTTAGTTGCATTTATGCAACTGCTTGATATTTCCTAATTCGGGAGTGGGGATTTTGTAGAAATTATCAAGTTTAAAAACGTTATATATAGTAAGGAATAGTGTAAAAGTTGTGACGTACTTCTAGGAAAGCTAGGACACATAATCAGGACTAAATTCGCATAAAAAAACTTGCCTCAAAGTGTCTTCACACGCAGCTAGAGTTGTTCTTCATTATGACATATTAATAAGCACATGGAGAAACAGTTCATAATAAAGAAGAACTCTTAGTGGCGTAAAAAGACTTTTCCGGGAATGAATTTTTTTCCGATTTTAATCGTAATGATCTGTCCTAACTTGCCAAGAAGTTTGTTGCAACATTTATGCAATTTGCTGTTGTTAAAAAAATAAAGATATTGAGAGAGAGCGATAAACTAGAGCTATGAGAGATAAATCGACAGCAAATTTGAAATCAGAGATACAAAAGTATCTAAGATTCGTTATAAAAGGCTGTTGCAACAGAAAACACAAAAAAATGCTCGCTAATGTAATTCAGAAAATTGTTTTAATTTAAAGACTATGAATGTGCCTGCGAATGAGAAAAAAGATTTCAATCATAGTTTATCAATATTCTTCGAAAGCACATTTTATTAAATGTCAAGTTGAATTGTGTGTCAATGAGCATAAAGTAAAATGTGAATAAAATAAAATAAAAAAAAAGACATAAAGCTAAAAGTAAAATAAAAATGTTAAAAATAAAGTGAAATCTGTGAATAACTAAAAATTAATAATGCTTTTCAGAAGATTTTACTTTATTTGGTTTTAGATTTCAAAATTTAATTAAATATTCAATGTTTTAAAATTTAAACTGTAGAAAAGTAAGCGTTCAGGACATTATATTTGATTTTAATAATTGCATATGTATTCTCCGAAAAATGTATGAAATTATTTTCTAGTATCTGACTTAGAAAAAAGTAGTTTTAGCCATGACTCAATGCTAATTACTGTATAAAAATTTAATCATAATATTTTTTTATCAGAACATGGTTTATTTTCTGTCAGTTGTCTATAAATTGATATAGCAGATAAATCATTATAACATCATGCATTTTAATACACTTTTCAATTTCAGATTTTTTAATATTATTTGATATCCACTTATTGGAAATTTAAGTATGATAAAATTGTATATTCATAAGAATTTTTTTTTCATTTTTTTTAAGATATAAAATTTTGAAATGAGTTTTAAAAAATATGAAACTCAAAACATTTTAGAAAATATAAAATTGTATAACGATTTTTTATATTTTTATGATATCGAACATACAGTTTATGAACTTTAACTGAATTTTGATAACGAATAATTTTATTAACGAATTTATAGTTTCATGTAAGGAATAAAAGCATTTAATGAGTTTTAAAAAAAACTATAAACTTATATGACTTTAGAGAATATAAAATTGTATGACGACTTTTTATATTTTTATGATATCGAACATACACTTTGTGAATTTCAACTGAATTTTGATTAAGATCAATTTTATTAACAATTTTATAATTTCATGTAAAGTATAAGATTTCTAATGTTATTTTACTATCTTTAATATCATTTTAGCTCCTATTGCCCCCAGCCAGAATTTATTTTTACGAACAAATGCTACTCATGCATTTTTATACTTAAACAAATGGAATGATGGTGGATGCGCTATCACGTTTTTTGTCATCCAGTATAGATTAGAAAACCAGAAAGAATGGACTTTAGTTTCAGATCATGTACTCATGCAGGCAGAACCATTTGAACTTGATTCTTTGAGTCCTGGAACATGGTATCGTCTTCATATTACTGCACATAATGATGCTGGCTCAACTCAGGCTGAATATTCTTTCAGCACAAGCATAATGAATGATGGTATAGTAACTCAATACAAAATTATGTTACATATATATAATATTTTGGTGACGGTTTATGAGAAATTTTACCAGTAGTAGTAGTGCTAGTCAAACAATAAACTAGCCTGTTTCCATTCATATAAAATACGATACCTTAAAGACATGGAAACTCCTCATCTAAAATTGTTCGCCGTGAAATATCAGCAAACTTAAGCATTTATGAAAAAAAAGTACGACATGTAATATCTGAATTCAATTAACGATTTCCAAATATTTCAAATTTTGAGCCACTAGCAGCTACTAAATTCAAAATAGTTATAGTTTTTTGCGTATTGTAAAAGTAGGAGATATCACACTTAAATATGCGCCAGTGTAAAAGTAAATTTTAATTCGAATATTTTACATGAGCACCAAGGTGGTAGTTACTACGGCCTTCAGAGTTTAAATTTTGTCCCCGTATACACTTGTTTAACAAATTTTCTTGAAAATAACCAGGCTTGATGCATTTTATAGCTTCATAGCCATAGTTTGAGCAATACAAACTAAACTTTTTAACATTATCATCCAAGCCACGGTGGCCCATGGGAAGAAGTCTTCGCCTTCGTAATGACGTGGACCAGGTTTAAATCCCAGCTGCGACTGTTTGATACAAATTCAGCTTACTTCCGGTTCACATCGACCCCACCGATGACGTAAAACATCCTTATCTTTGCTAAATCGTGTATATTTAACAACATTAAGAATTCATTTATCCTAAATTTTCGATGCTTACTAATAACTTTTTATTAACTTTTGTAAACGGTCACAGTCTAATTTTAAAGCTAACCGTGGTAGATTTTCCTGTTTTCCTTATCCATGTGATGCAAATGCGGGTCTGTACCATAAGAAAAAAACTTCAATGGAGGCTAGTTTGTCCCTGAGCTAGATCCAGAAGTTTTTTTTTTCCTTCTAGGTGGTTTTCAAATTTACGAGGCGACGGTGTTGAACATTGATAGTCGTTAATTTCGAATTAGGTCAGGTGTTCAACGTCTGTTATAAAAAAAAAAATATTATCTTTTTTTGAATGGCTTGTCAAATTTTCCCGTACTTGGAAAAATGATCTATTAAGAGTATGCATAAAAAGCTTGTCAACTTTCCCGTTTAATTTGATTATTTATATCCGAATATAGTAACATCGATGTGTTTTACTAAAATCTTCCAAATATGGTAATCAAATTTTTAATTCTGTGGTATCAACAGTAGAAAGAAAAAACACAACCGCTGTTTTATAAGCTGTAGTGGCAGTTAATTTAATTTACCATTAGAATTGCTTGCATTTTCTTTGCAAGTTAAAATGATTTTAGCAGGTTTTTACCAACCAGCAACTCTTGCATTGGTCTTTGTAAAGAGGAAATTTTTTTAAAACTTTTTGTGAAGTTTTAAGTCTTGTACAATTTATTAAATGTCCAATATTCGGAGTCGAAGAATATCTGTATTAGTCAAGATTTTAATGCTTATGCTGTTGCACTAAAAGTAAATTTAATGATGTCACTTACCTGTGACAAAATGTCATTCTCGATGTTACCAACAGTTGTGTGATACTTAGCAATTCCTTGAATAATGCCATGAATCGGCTTTTTCGTTGATAAAACCAAATAGATGGATTGGTTTTTTTTTCTTCAAAAATGTGGTAATTAAATGGAAATAGAAGTTTTTTTACCACCTTCTATAGGCAACATTTTGGGAAAAGGAAGACGAATTCAAAAATTTAATAAACGACCAAGGTCAAATGGTACGTGTCGCGTTAGCTAGGTGTCGCAACAATTAAAAATAATTATTATAAAATTATATATATATTGTATTTACGAAAACAATTATTTGTTTCATTGTATCATTTAATACATACCTACTTCGAACCTCATAAGTATTTATCATTAATTGCTGGGGAAATTTTCTTCTACAGTTTATTTTTAGGTTAACCTTACAAATAAGCATATCAAAATAAGTGCCGCCAAAAATTATTAAATAATAAAACAAACACGAGAAAGGATTCATTTTATTCTTGGCATTTTCGAGTTATTTAGTTGTTCATTATGTGAAACGACTTTTTAATGTACATGAAGCAAATAAAAATATTTTTTAATTAGTTATTAATATGTGTAGTTCTTTTTTTTACATAATAATCTTAATCCACATTTTGAAAGAATGTTTTATAAACCTCCGCACATAATAAATGTTAGCACTATCTTGAAGAAAACCTTGTTCTGAATTTTCAATATACCTTTAACATACTGATTTTCCAATTAATTGAAATTTTGTAAGAAAAATAAAAGATGTATTCATTGATTTTTGGTCGCATCAATAAATGTTCAACAGTAACAGTATCAGTTTAATTATAATTAAAATAGCTTTTCTTATCATTTTACATATTTATATCAATGATTTTTTTTAAAAATGTCATTAAACAATTTTTAATAATGTACTAGAATATTATAACGATTATAGAGGGTGAGGGAGAAATTTTATTTAGAAAACAAATTATCAATTGTCTGCACTTTTATGTATCAACATCTTAAATTTTAATGTCAAGCCAAATACTTACAAAAATGTGGATGGAAAATCCATTTTATAATTTTAATGGGGGAAAGATACTCAAATGCCAATGATTTCATGCCTTAATTTTCTTAATTTTATTTTCAAACAAATTTGTAAGAAAAGAACTGCACGTTCATGGAAAAGTCTGATTTAATTACGATGTATATTTGATAATTTTGTCTGGAAAAACTTTTTTCGAATGGAGGTAATTCTTTGTCTTGAAGTATCTAACTTTAATTTCGAACAAAGTCTTAGAGTAAATAAGCATTTATTAAAAACCCTAATTTTCTTAAGGTAGTAAAAATTAACAATAACATTATATGTTTATTTTTCTCTCTTTTTTTTTCTCTTTTTTTAGCTGTTGACTTGATTACACCAATCATCAGACGCCCTGCACCTTTTTACACGAACCTGGCTATTATTGCTCCTGTAGTTGTTACTATTATGATTTTAATATCTGTACTCATTGTTGTTTGTGCTCTCAGTAAACGTAGAAGGAATGGAGATAGACAGTATGAAGGTAATCATTTACTTTTACAAAACTAAAAGAGGCATAAAGAAGATAATCATATCTAAATAAATTATAAGAATAGTTTTCTTAAAATTTATAAATAATAATTATACTCAAATTCAAGGTGGCAGTCATAATAATTACTCCAATAAACGAGTTAATGATGCTCATTTGGAAATCAGACTGAATTTTATTTGAAATATATATTGAAATGAAATATTTGTTTGAAATATATACATTGTAAGTCTACGAAACCAACTAAATTAACTTGATGTAATAAACAAACATTAGAATAATTTTGTTTCCTTTAGACCATGGGTTCTTAACTTGAGTGCTATAATCCTCCAATTGGCTTTTAGAGGCACGCTAGAAAAAATAAAGGTATTTGAGTGTTAACAGGGAATTCAAGAGGGTTGTCAATAATTATAGGTGAGATTAGCTTCAAATACGCATTAAAACTGATAAATATTATGGTTGGGAATCACATAAAATACTTAAATTTCAAACTCAACATATAAAACATAATCTTATCAAATAAATATTTTCATTTTTTTTGAAGTGGAGAAGAAAATACTATTATGCCCAACTATACCCATGATCTTGGTTGAAACTCAAGTCTTTTTTGCCCTTACCGCTTCCCCTTTAGGGGCTGGTATATCCTGAAATTTAATTGAATACGCTTTTCTTTTTAACAAAAAGTTTTACTTTTTGAGAGTTTTAAGTATTTACCTCCTATTCATTTCTCTATAGTTTCTTTAATTGTTTTTATAAAGAAGTTTTGAATACATTTTTAAGCGTATTTATCATATATTTTAAGTATTTTCTATTTTGTTAAACAATTATAAGGCCTATCCATTAAATCTAATTCACTTATTTGATTTCTCAGTATTAGATGTTGTAAAAAAAACACAGTAGTCACATGTTGATTATCAGATTTCAACAGGCTGGTTATCAATTTCTTAATTTTACTATTTATTTTAATTTTTTTTATAATTTAAAAGAAAAAATATTTAATAAATTATTTTATTTATACTACGAAGGGATATGCTTGAATTAAGTTTTACTCAAAAATTTGCATCATACAAATTATATATAATAAAATCTCTCATAACACAATTACTTGAATAGTTTAAATGAATGATCGGGCGGAGTTTTTTCGAATATTATTTGAAAAATAAAGAATAAAAGTATAATTTGCAACAAGTAAAATTTTAGAGATTTTTTTTTCTTTTTTAATTTTAAAATATTTTATTTTTCTAAAGCAAGTGACAATATGAAAACACTATAAAAATATCTAGGTGTTTTCTCACATATATTTTGGTAGGAAAAAAATGTTTTGAAATCTTTCAACTGAAATAAAATGTATTTTATGAAAAAGTATGCATACTAATATATATCATAAGTGTATATAAAAACAATATCGTTTTTACAACAAACTAAGAGAAACATTTGAATAAATATAAACTATGTGGTGCTATATATGCAATAAATATTTTTTTTAATGTTAAACATTACTTTAAAAATTCCTTAACAGATGCTCAGAGTGTGAGAAAAGAGATAAATCCTGAAGCAGTACAGATGTCAGAATATGAGGTAAAGCAAGATGGAACATATGTACAAGCAAAGGATTCGTCATTATATTTTCCATCTCCATATGCAACAAGCAGAGTGCCAGTATTCTCTTTAGATGAAAGAAGTTCGGGAGAAAGTAGTACAGATGGCCGATCCACATTACGGGATATGGAAAGGCCATACGATGTTCCATTCGCAGTAAAACAAGTAATAGATAAATTCAAGAGAATAAAATTTATTAATTTTATTGATAGCTATTTTTTTGTTCCATTATTTAATGCTAGAATGAATGCGGATTTGAATGTTCAAGATCAGTAGAGTTTTTTTTTCCTTGCGGATATATTTTTCAAGTGCTATTTTTAGTTCAAGTGAAACCTTTGCTGTTTGTTTTAAGAACGAGAAAAAATAGAAGATTAATTTATTTCAAACGCGATATTTTATGTTGTATTATAATCGTATGTATATATTCACAATCTATGACGCTAGAAAATGTCAAGATGAACAAATCTGAAGAATATAAATTAGACATGGCAGATTAAGCAGACAATTCCCGAGTTTGGCATTAACTGTAGTTTTTTTTTTTNTTTTTTTTTTTTTTTTTTTTTTTTTTTTTTTTTTTTTTTTTTTTTGATTGAATGATGTTGTTTCCACCTTTGTTAAATCTACTTTTCAAACAATTTTGATCTCTTATTTGTTTTAAACACGGGTAACGTTTTTTCTTTTTTCAATTTAACATCTGATAATTTTAATAATATAAATTTCGCTCTTAATTTAACAAAATGCATATTTAAATTTATAAAAAGTCATACCGTTACAGTATTATATGTCTTAAAAATATTGATATAACTGAAACAAATCCCCTTATGAAAAATCCAGATTTAGATTAATATCTTTTTAATCACTAGATGGCAGCACTACAACTCTTATTCTCAATGTGCTGAAAATAAAATATTTCAAAAAATGATGCAGTTGATAATCGCTGCGAATATACTATCGCAGATAATTAAACATATCCCTGCATCCAAAGAATATTGAAACTTAGAAAGACAATCAAATCTTAAAAATATACTTTAGGGTATTGAATGCGTTCATGCAATTTTAATTTACTTTTAATTACTTAATTAATTTACCTACTTTAATTGTATACCTCTATTTTTAAACTCTTTTAAAAATTATAATGTTAAACTATGTCTAATTTAATGTTAAACTATGTCTAAAATTATAATGTCTGTTATAACTATAGTTCTTCTCAACATGAAGCTATAATTTCATAGTGTTCTCAAAGCAATCTTTTGTGGTTTCCAATTACCATGTCAAAATTTCTTATAACTTATTTTACTTGTACGTATTTTGGAAATTTAATTTTATGCTAAGATATAGTCCCTTTTCGCAATACTCAGCAATTTTCACGTTTAGTGTGTAAACATTTATATTTTTTACGAAAAATAAATCATTACGTTACAATTAATACTTATTTCATCTTTCGAAATTTTTTACCGCATTCTATGACACATATTTAGTTATCAGTTGCAACTTCATAAACAGTTTCATTTATTAAATTATTTTTTAAATGTTTGATTACAATCAAAACTTGTTAGTGTTTTGGCCAAACAGTAACAGTTTTTTAAAAGTAGCTTTACATTCTTTACTGTTTAATAATTTTGATGTTCATAATATTTAATAGTTCTGAAACCATAGCTAAATATATTTTACATAAAATATTTTGCATAATATAGCAATTTTATGCTGCAAGTTTATTATATGATAAATTTTAAGATAAATTTTTAGTTTTAATCAAAAATAAATGAGTAAAATTAAAGGTAATAAAAGTCTGACCAGCACATTTCCCTCTACTTTTTTCACTAAATCAGTTTTATTTTTTGTTATTATTATGCTTTTAAACTTTTTATTTGTCGGCCCATGTGTGAGAAATATGTTTTTTCAACCTAATATCTTGCAAAATATATTTAACGAGTTTCAATAAAAGGACGTTGTAGGTTGTTTGTCCACGTTTAATGAAATTGGTAAATTCTTTAATGCATTATTATAAAGTTTTTTGATGTTTTTAACATTCTGGTGAAATTGAATTCTTTTTTTTAAAATTGCTTTTATTTGTTTCATACACATTTGTTTTCTTTGCGCTAACATGATTTTAGCTATATGTATAAAGAAAAAAAAAGTTAAATAGAGAAGAAATTTTCATAACCTAGGTGCTGATCCATAATTTAATATATATATTTTTCTTACCGAGCACTTGGTGTCATTTTGTGCAAGAAGTGAATCACGAGAAATAAAATTTTATTTTTCAAATCCATCAGCTTAAAATTTAAATGTTTTAGGGTAGATAACTTTGCGTGTAACGTTGGTTATAATTTTCGAACAAGTAGAAGCATGATCAAATTTTATTTTATTTAATAATGTTTTTTTTTTTTTAATTTTATAATGTTTCTTTTTTAAATTTCATACTCAAAACTGAATTTTTCTTATCAGTTTGAGTTCAGAATATATAAGTTTGCTTCATAAATATAGAATTATAAAAACTCATAAAAATAGGAAAAGACATAAACACTTTTCAAATAAAGTTTATTGCTAAAAATCATCGACTAGCATTTTATTCTTGTTACAGCTTTGAATGCACGTTTACGAAAGTGGGATCAATTCAAAATGCTTGTTTATACATCTCTAAATGTATGTTTATGAAAAAAAGTCACAGCTCAAAATGAGTGTGTAAAAAAATAGATCAAGCTCAAAAGGCGTTTTTAATATAATGAAACAAGATATTTAAGAATTTAAGAACAAGACATGACAATAGTTTTCAAACTTCGTTTTTAATTTTACTCTTTTTTCCAAAATAAACCAATGAATTCAAATAAATTCGTCACGAGATTACTTCAATTCGCATAAGTCACTTGGTTCACCAAAAGTTGATGCGGGATTGATTATAAATTTATATTAAAGGGAGAAAATTTACTTTATAGGAATTGTTTTTAAAGCTCAGAGTTCTGAATCGATCGTCATGTATTTGACGCAGACATCACTCGAAAAGTTACAACTGATATATACCTAACCACCCGGACTCCAAAGTCCAGAAATTTGCCCTGTAATGCTTATACATGATATTTTTTTTTTTNATATGATTTTTTTTTTTTTTTTTTGTAACCGTTGTTGAACAGCCGACCCAATTTTCGGGTTCACGACTACTAATTTTCAAAACCGTAGTCTTGTAATTTTCAACTCAACCCAGAAGACAAGGAACTCCTGAATCAAGTATTAGGAGAAATTTGCCTTTCGTGGTGGAATTTATGATGGAACTAACCAGCATTTGTGATACACGGAGAGTAAGACAACGAGAACCTTCCATGGTTAGTCTGATGGCAAGGGGACTCTAACCCGTGATCCGTCTACCACTGAGGATATTTCACGCAGCACTGTGGTCGATGCAGGCCGGAGATTGATTCGCATCAACCAGCCAATGCTGGGATTCGAACCTTATTCACCTCATTCAAAGGCGAACGCTCTATCCTCTGAGCCATCACGATTCATAAATATGAAATGTAATCCGGCAATTCCATGTTCAGTTGTTAGATTTGGTTTAAACATTGAAATGGCGCATTTTTTCCTAGTGCCCATTTTCTAAAAGAGACATTTCCAGCTATGTCCCTTTTGTAAGAACGCATTTTGAGCTGTGTCCAGAATAAAAAGTTCATTGATGAAACGCATATTTGCTGAAGTTGCCACTTACAATAAAAATTTTCCAGAACTTTCGACTGGTGAGTTGTTGGCATCAAAAACTGTTTTCCTCATTGCTGTACAATTGGAAAATTAGGTATAGCTGGGAAATTTCAGTGCAATTTTGAATAGCACATTAATACTTAGAGGGATAATTTTCATGTTAGAGTTCATTCTAAATGTTAAATATAATTCAAAAATGATATTTTTAGTTAAAGTCTTATTTTAATAAATTTTACTCCAATTTTTTATTTCAGTCAAGCAATACAAAGCATATAAAAGGAGGGAAGTCCTTAACTCAATCAGAAGTGGAGCATATGTACAGCTTTCCAAGTAAGAGTTTTTTTACTCTATTTTTTTAATAATGAAACAAAAGTCCTCATTTAATTTTACATCTAAGTAATATATAATTTCGGCTCTGAGTAAAATATCAAAGTAAGAATTGGTGAATTCTTAGAAATTCAACATTAAACGAAACTGCTAGGCCCTGCATGGTTAACACTATTTATAAAATGTTATTTGACATTTTTCTTCCTGTGAAATTTCTCTCAATAATTTTGCACATTGAAATTCTGGTTTAAATGTGCTAAATTTTATTTATGTATCAATATCCTTTTAAAAATAATTTTAGAATTGTTGATTACCTTAAAAGAGATTTTTCCTTCAAAAAAAAAAAGAGATTTCCTTATAAGCGAGAGATTCAACGAGAATAATTTTTAATAACCATTTGACGAAAATGCCAAATATGTTTATTTTTGTTCTCGGAAGAAAAACGAAAATTGTGAAACTAGTAATGCACTATAAAACTGTAAAGGCTTATGGGTGAAGTTATCAGGAAAAAAAAGTTTTAGCAATGATTTTCTAAGATTAATAAAGCATGGTCCATAGAGTTTTACATGAGTATTAAAACGATATTTTAAGTTTCTTTTTTGTGTATATACAGGTTGATACAATACTAGTGTTTTAATATTTATCTGTTGGTGAGGAATATGATAAAAATAAAGATTCGTATAGAAATATAAGGTCGCAAACTTAAAACAGAAGCTCAAAGAGATGCCAAAGGTCACGAGGAGAATCAGGAGCGATGCCTGCCAAAACTGGATTAAATGTGGTCGCAATAAATTTTTACTAATTGAAGAATTAAGAAATAAATTGTAATTAATGACCTACTGTCTGACACTTTTCAGTTTCTGACTCTTTGAAATATAGTGCGCCTGCATTAAGTTTATAAAAGCATTTTTTTTTTTTTTTGTATGATGTTATGCTCCTGATCTATAAGTATGTTCTTGAAAAAAAAGTCTGTATCACCTAAGATAAACTTTTATAAATCGAACTTTATTTAGTTTCAATTGAACTTTATTTTAGTAGATAGGAATATCTAAATTTTTTTCTCAATTTCGCTCCAATCCCAAATCGCAGCAGCCATGTATTAAGCTTGGTTTTGAATATCGGGAAGTGGATTTCGTTATTGTTACAGATTTTTAGAAAGTAAATCCAATAAAAATGTATGGATAATCCTACAGTGTAATGAATCACTTAAACAAAGTTAGCATTCTATGCTTTTGGTATGTCAAATTTTCTTTGAATATCTGGTATATTTTTTTTTCTTATCCTTATTTTAAAAATTAAGACTCTATTATTCATGTGTCATGTCAATAAAAAAAGACGTGTTAATAGTTTAAGTTGAAAGTCCTAGCTTTGCAATTATTGATAATTCTTAATTCTTCTCATGCAGATCGGCCATCAAGTGGACATCATCAAACAACAGGATCTCATCGAAAAGAATCTATGTCTGGTCGACGTTGGTCTGCTGATGTTGATGATGACTACATACCAGACAACAATGATTCCAGACCTAGATCAACTGCCATTTCTTCCAGCAGATGGCACTGCGGTACCAAACAAGGTGGTCCCTATGATAAAACATGTCGGGATGGGTAAGCAGGCGTGGGTTGTAGAATGTTGATGTGACATCGGGGAAGCAATTAATAAATTTACAAAAAAAAAGGAATTAAAAAAATAATAATCACGAAATTTTTCCCTAATATATTTGACGAGTTGAAAATGTTTTTTGAAATTAAACGTTTTACAAGAAACGAATTGAAAATTTCATTGCATTTTCCACGTCTCTATTATTATTTGTTAAACATAATATATATTAGTTAATATAGGATGTTTATAATTGTATTGATGTTAATTTAATATTTTCCGTTTATTTAATAAACATATATTTTAAATAAAATAAACAGTTTCATTTCGGTAAGATTACTGATAAATAGCAGCAATTCGGAATGTGAAATTTACAAACATAAATAAACGAAATGCTTTTTAACTTTTTTTTTTATTTTCTTACAATATTTTTTGTTTTTATTTAAGTTTTAGGATTCGAAGCAAAATAACGCATTAAGTTACAGTACGACTTTAAATGAATATTAAATATCCTCCCTCATCAATTTGTATTAATTTAAATCCATTTATAGATATTACTAACACAAAAGCTTAGTTATTTCATACTATGAATTATTGCCGCAGTTTAAATGTTTTACGTTTTAGTTACAACTTTAACCTTACAGAGCTGCCATCTATTAGGAAATTCCTAAAATCATTACTTAACTTCTTTGTAAGTACAATATATCCAATATAAAGTGATTTCGTGAGAATTTAATTTTTAACTTTTTGTATGTTTTGTGTTGTTTTGATTTTTAAATTAAAAAAATATGCGTGATTTTTGTTTAATTTTTTAAAAATCCATTTTTTCAATTTCAATAATATTTCAAGTGAAATATAATCCAGATTACTATATTGTTTAATAAAAAATATTTTTTGAATTCAAGCTTATTTATTCATAAAAAGACGCAAGTAAAACATTTATTTTTCAAAAATTAATCTGAAATTTACTCTTAAATCTGGTATAAAAATTCTCTATATCTAAAACAGCCCTATAAATAGGCATCAGTTCAATTTAATTTATACTAAAAAACCCACATTTACTTCTTTCTTAATACCATATCAGTAACTTCATTGCGTTTTAACAATAATTATCATATCAATCTTAGAACTTATTACTTAATTTCAATTAAACTCCATTAATTAAAACATGTGTTTGGTGAAACAACAAGAAATACGTATTATATTCAAAATGTACAGGGATAATCAAATAATATATTGGATAAAAAATCATACGCACGTGAAATACTTTCAGAAAAATTAATATAGCGAAGACAAACTCTCCCTGCCCACATCTCCGGATTACAAATTTAAAATTTTAAAAATGCAAGCTCCTTTTTCTATTGCAAATTTGGATTTTCCAGAAATTGTATTCCAGTTTGATTTACTTTTCGAAAGTACTTTTTTTCTGTTTTGTTTTGTTCACAGATGATACTGGAATGGCACTATGAAAATGAGATACAAATCGCTTTAAATGGACAAAGCTGATATCTCGATAAATACTTGCCATGATAAATAAATAAAATTATTCGTGTTTCGTATTTTAAAAAAATCGACCTAGTCACCCAAAAACCAACTCTTTCTCAGACATCTGGACTCAAGCCTTGAAAATCTATCCTATATCAAGGCGAAGGGCATCATTAAATTTATGTATCAAAATCATGAAATATTAGTGTCATTAAACATATGTTATGAAAATATTTCAGACTTGTATATAAAGTTTTAAACGAGCAAGCATATTCCTGAATCCATTCAATAATTTCCATATTATATTCTAGGAAATATACAAATTTTTTTTCAAAATATATTGAAATTCAAAGCAGCATGCCTTATAAAAAGGAGGAGAATTATTTAATCCTCAAAAGTACACTAGTTAAGTAGAGTTTGATTAGTTTATGTATATATATATATATATTTAAATATGAAACAAATAGGTTGATGCTACACTTTTACTAAAATAAGTATTCCTTAGGAAAGTAATTCATAATTTAAAAATTATTCCCACAAAAGCTAAATAATTTAAACATGAAAAATTATAAGGAAAGTTACGAAATATCATGCAATAAAAACAATTGAATCTGGTTTAATAGAATAATTGCCTTATAAAAAAACTAATTGAATTATTTATTTTACCAGTAATAAAATATTGATCTCTTACTATCTTTGTAAGAGTAACAGTCAGAGAGTCGTCAGTGCAGTGTTTCTTTTGCTTTACTTTCCATTCACTGTAAAATATTTTGAATCAAATTGCAGTTAAGAATATGGGTATTCTTTTTTTACCACGAAATCCAGCTTTACCGTAAAACTTTACAGTTCAAAAAATTTATACATCGCATATTTTACACAATATTTTATTATCAAATAATTGAATCACTATAATTTAATAAATATTGCTGCAAAAATTATAATTTAAAGATCCGAGTTAGAAAACAAGTTTACCGTTAAATTGAATTTACGAATGATACACCCACACTGAGAAAAAGAAATATGACCAAAACTACTAAATTATGGCAACATTTATCGTCTTTCTGGAGCCATGGGAACACTAAAAAGCTCAGTAATTCTTATCGAAGTTCTTTTTTAATGATTTTTGTAAAATTAGCAATACGAATGGTTTTTTAATGTGCAATATAACTTGGTAATAGTGCTGAAATTTAATTATTTCATTATGATATCTTAGAGCATGGCATAATATTATTTATATATTAAATTTTACTTCTGAGTCTTGTACTTTTTACTAAATGTGTAGTAAGAACTTTTTACAGTAATTTGATCTGGAATTTTTCTCAGGGTACGAAACTAGGAATTACTGTTTATTGTATGGTTTAGAAGAGACTTCTTGATCTTAGAAAAAATACTTTTATTTCTTGTGTCAAGAATAATAAATCCCATTTATTTTCAGAATTCGAAAATAACCATCATTTCAGCATTTATTTTTATTTTATTTGTTTTAAAGAGTTTAAAAATTGTAAATGACTGTTTATTTCTTTTTTCCAGAAGCTTTAAAAAAGCTAAATAACAAGGTGTTATTGCACATATTTAGAAAATTTAGCAGGATTCATTTGATAGAAAACTTTATTATTAAAAAAAAGTAAAAATATAAAATATCTACAATTTTTTGTTCTTTCATGCAGGTATGAGGATGAGGAGTGGGGAAGCCCCTTTCATTTATCCGGAACACGTGACGTAGGGGAAAGTAGTGATGCAGAATGTGACAGGGACCAGATTTTATACGTCCATACTGACACAGGTAAATATTTTCAAAACAATACTTCTAATAAATTATTCCTTAAATTCTTATTGAATTTATTTCAAATTAATAAATATTGCAAAAATGCCGATACCCAAAATTAAGTTTTGAGACTTAATAAAATAATGTTGATCCTTTGACCGATAAATAAATAAATAAATAAAATCATAAATTTCTTATGCATTCTTTTTTAATTTTAAAAGCTTTAATTTTCAAGTTAGCTAAAGATGGAAGAAAAAAAATTTATTTTGTTAGATCCATTAAGAAAAACTTACATTCGTTTTAAAAGACGACACATTAGTTTTAAAATACGGGGAATTATTTTTGACAGAAAGGGTATTTAGTTATTAGCGTCCTAATTATTTCATTTTAAGTCTGACAAAAATTATAGTTATTTCACTTTTTTTGACAAACTTCTAAGCATGCTAGTTTTGTAAGCAACAATTTTACTTTTAAAAAATACATAGAAAGCAAGCTAGTTATCGAGCAGCCTTAAATAGTTATGATTCTGAAAATTTATTTTTAATCGTAATTTAATTAAAATCTTATGATACATTAAATCTTTTTTTAATTTTTAATGATTTCTTAAAGTTTAAGTTGCAAATAGAATTTAAACTCAAAAAACTAAAACATAAACTTCTAAAAACAATTATATCCATGTGCTATCTATTTCAGAATGACATGCACACGTATTTCCTTTCCAATAAAGTAGTCGAAAGCCTAGATTTTGCTAAGTGGTGTTGAATAAATTTTTAATCGCGAATTAATGGTGCCAAATGATTAATTTATAGCATATGAAACTACCATTAGAGAGCATAATTACTCTTTCGGGAGCTTTCTAAGTCAGAGAAGGGAAACATTTCTGATATATTACTCAGGCTCACTCATGTAAAAGTACCATTAGGAAAGACATTGTGTTTCGGAAAATAGCTCAGTTTGTAAACAGAAAACATTAATGCATGGAGTACAATAATGTTTAATCGTCTTGCGTCGTCAGTTTTTTTTAAATATTTTTTTAATTTTTTCTTTCAAGTTCATTATAAGACCAAAGAAAAAAAAACTCAATTGATAAATTAAATAACTAACGCTTTAAAAATTTCAACATATTTTATAATTTTAAATTCTACTATAAGCAAATCCAGATCAAATTACGATGAAAAGTACCAGCACTCACGGAGACGGAACTTTTTATACGTTAAAATCCGTTTTTACCGGAATGAGTTACGAAGCAAAAAATCTAATAACTAATAAGAAATCTAATAGAATTTTCTCAGTAATAATTACAATAAAATAACGGAATTATTCTAGTTAAATAAATACTGCTGTAAAAATAATGGTATAATATTTTACGGTAAAAAATTTTAAGAGCCGTTACTTTGTATCATAACTTGATACAGAATTTTTTACAATGTTCAAAAGAGCTGCAATAATTTTAGTTAAAAACGTGACTGTTGTTAGAAAATTAACTTTTTTGAAAATCATCTTAACTGCCAAGTAAATATTCTTTGTTTATTTAGAATGAAGATGTAATATGCTTTTACTGCGTTCTTCTTTCATTTCCAAGAACAGTCCCGCTTAATAGTCTGACCGTTTTTTCAACTGCAGAAGGAAAAAGAGTGTGGTAATTCGATCACCACGTGATAATTTTCTTGAAGTTATATAAGAACTGGTCTTATCTGAACCGAAGATAAGCACGTTGACATTTAATGCCCTTTTGTCTTGCAAGCAAAGTGACGATGAGGATACAGAAAACTAACTGGTTTTAAAACAAAAGGTTTACATTTCAATTATTATGACCGAGTCAACTCAACGCTTCAGCGTAACTAAAAATATCTCAACTTATGTATTTCAAAATATCGTAATGATGGTTTGGAAAAGGAAATGAAAATGCAGAGTGCGATTGGAAGCCATGAAAAAAATAATAAAGCTTTAAAACAACGGTTTGAAAATGTTAGATCATCTTTAAGATGCTACATCTTAAGAGATCAAGTGACTGATGAAAATTTCACTATAACTTCTACTTATCACTATAATTCTATATATTCCATAAACAAAAGCCAAAATTCGCCATGTTTTCATGATGGGGAACAAAGATATTATAAAACTACCGAGTCAGCTGAAGAATGCTTCAATAGTGCAATTAAAAATAAACATCAAATACGTTGAATTTTCCTAATTTTAAATGTATAGAACTTTAAGGAAGAAACTTAACGTAGAATGAAAAGTAAGCAAAATAACCGAATATTTGAAAGTCGAAACATTGTATTTTCTAAAATGGAAATAATAATGAAGTATAAATTAGGTAATAAATTCGATAAATAAGCGGCTGCTAACTTGAATCTTCGGAAAACTCCTCAATTTTCAAAATTTACAATGTTTGTATCGATACCAATTAACGCCTCTTAGAAGAAGAAGATCTGCTCACAGGTTACCATAAATGATAAATTTGATCCTTTAGTAGTCCAAACGTACCATCCTTTAAATTCAAAAATAGAAACTTAAAATATTGCATATTCTAAAATGGGAAAATCATCAAATATATGTTAAATCAGGCGTTAAAGTTAGATAAATTCAAGTATATAGGTGACTGCTAGCCTGAAATTTAGGAAAACTCTCTAACTGTCACAACGATTTACAATGTATTGTTATATTCGCTTCGATGAACACCTCCTAGAAGAGAGAATTCCTCTGCACTGGTTAAGGAACAGCAGCAGTCTGATCATTTAGTAGAGCGAACATTGTAAAATCTTTCGTTTTTTCCTCAGTATGCAATTTAGTAGGCCGAGAATTATGACATATTTCTTATTTTTCCCCATAGCGCAGTTTATATTCATTACGTTGGACTACTAAATTGATCTGTGCGATGGCCGTCTCTCTTCTCGGAGGTTTTGAACCGACGCAAAATGCATTTCAGATCAATAAGCATCTTTATTATAGCTTACTATTTCCGTTTTTTAATCAAACTACAACATGTATTTCTTTTTCTTTTTTTAGGTTCCTTTTTAAGTGCTAAATTGCCGTACCATATCGCCTTGGGAAAACAAGTCATATTTCCATCAAGGGCTCATATTGAAGCTTAAACTGTGCATTTCAGGAAATTATATACATGAAAGAAAGTATTTATACGTGAAAAACGGCTTCCAGGAAGAAGAAAAAAAACGTCATTTTATAACATTTGTATATAGCTTAGAGAATAAGAAATGTTTTGTCATAATAAATATTATGTTTTTATGTCTATGTTGATGAAAGAAGATAAGTGTTTGTAAATTTATAAATTTAAATGTTGTGTTATCAAAGGAGCTGTGATCAAAAAATGTTATAAGAATAACAGAGTTGAGTAATTGATTATGAAATATAATACATTACAATAAAATAAATTGCATCCAGATTTATATTCATTATTTTACAAGTTTATTTCCGATTAATGTATATTTTTAATGATTTAACAAATCTTCCCTTATGAAATGAAGTAAATAAAAAATTTCAAGAGAGTTATTTTAAAAAATGTAGCAATAATCATTATGTTAAGTATTTATAACAGTTTTATTATTTTTTCTTAAATTTAAGTTTATATCTAGTGTAATTAAAAAATATGAATTTTGATCAACAAGTGAGGTCCGAAATTTGTTTATGATTTTTGTGTTAAACTTATAAATTGTGTTTATCATATTTAGAGGAATTTATTCTGCTTAATGAAACATATTTTGCAAAACCTCATAAAAAAGCTGAGCAATCCAGTTTCCATGTACAGCCAAATTTTCAAAAAAATTTTTCTGGTATTTATTCAGTAATGCAATAATATGTTCTTAACATGCTAATATTTCAATTACACCAATATTTTTTATTATTAAGTATTCCGTAAGTTTGATAAATTTTAGTTCTTTTATTTTTTATGTGTTATTTGATAATAAAATACTTCATTACGAGAGATGTTAAAAAATGAAAAAGCAATTAATAAAAAGTGAGATAATCTAATAAAAGTCATGATTTGCATATTGGATACAAGTGTTCATATGAACTCTTATAAATTAATGTAATGTTCCAGAGTAAATGTAAATAAACTTTTTTGATAAATGTTGAAAATTTGTTTGTTTTTTCCTTACGAACATAATCATGTCATCATTCATGCTGATCATGAGATCAATGTTTCCAATATCAAATGTTTCCATTTCCTTTGAGAGCAGTGAAATTTCTTGTTTTTTTCTGGATAAAGTCATCTAAAACTATTTCATTGAAAGTATTTTAGAAAAATTCATTTTTAAAATGAAAAATATTATGTGTTCCATTTTGTTGATTAAATAAACATACAGAAGGTCCATTTTTACGATAAAATGTTTTTTGAAGGACCTATTTTAAAGATGGTGCATTTTGGGAACCGTCCGATAAGGGTCCAGAATTTTCCCTGGTTCAGGTTCAATGAAATTATATTTCCGGTCAAAGGTTCCGGTTTCATTTCTTCGGTTCAATGAGTCCTCATTGAAACAAGACAAATGATTGAAATAAGGTAAATCCTGAAATACAAAAAGCACTTTTCAATGAATAAATACATTGAAAAATATTCGTCGATCTTCAATTAACAGTAAAAACGTTATATTATGCTGTTGAAAAGCTTGACAAAATCAATATAACTAAAAGTACATAGTTCAAATTTATGATTATGAAATGAAAGATACATTTTGACTAACATGTTTGTATTTCAAAAAAAAGAGAGGTGAAATAAAAAATTCACGAAATTTGGGAATTTACACGGCAGAAAATTAATTCTTTTAAAAATCGAACATATTACAGTGAGCTTAAATCCAACTTTCATTCTTAATGATTCGCAAAAGGATTTTTTACAAAATTTGAGAGGATTTAAAAAAAATTGAAAACCATTAAAAATATTATATTTAATAGCACTAAGCAATTCAATTACATTATTTTTAAATAAGAAATTTAAAGTTTGAAAGTGAAATAATTAAAATAAATTTTCATCAAATCAATATATTTTTTTACTGCTTTCATTTTAAACGTCAACTTCCTTAAATTGAACGAATCGAAAAAAATAGACTTATGTCGGTAAAAAACATTTCTCAGTTCTCATAACAATTTCAACTTTTTTACACTGTAACAGAGAAATTTAATTCTTTCACTTATTCTTTTCTAACTTTTTACTTTGATTTGCAATGAAACTTAAAGTTGTTAAGACTTTCTTAAAATTAAAATTAACGAACTCTATTTTATTTTATTATGAACATCCGTATAAACCATAAGGAGAAAAAAATACAAAAATGAATCGAGCACTGCTGATTTAAATGTGTATATAGTAAAACAAATCTAAATAAGGAGGAAGAGCACAAAAGATACCACATAAATTGACGTATTGTTTCTTTTTTTAACGTGGAATTTTCTTTACAGTTGAAGAGTAAAAAGGAATTGGAGTACACAGACAAGCTGAAGAAAATGAAAAACAAGTTTCAACAGAGAAAAAATGAGCTAAGCAATAGGGCAGGGTCAAAAGCTTGAATTAGAAAATCAAACAAAGCATAGGAAATAATAAATATATATTATAAAGAAGAATCCTATCACAAATGCTATTTTATATTCTTTCAAGTGAGTTTTTAAATCCCCACCTCACTTTTTTTTCCCCTTATGCTTCCTTTTATTTGATAATCATGTTCAAGCCTGTTACCAAGTCCGTTAACCTCTTTTTTACATGTTGCAACCGCTTGTAATTTTCTTCTGCATCATTGTATTTCTTTCCCTCATTTCGTGTTTTGACACTAAATAGTGTAGGTTCACTAATATGTGACAGAAAACAGACCATTAACTATAGCTTAGTTACGAGCTTAGTTTAACGCAATGTTTATCTAAACTAAACATGCTTCATTAGTAGAATAAGAATAAATTTTTCTTTTAAAAGTGTTAAAATTGCGTTCACTGTTCTTCAGTAAAAAACAAAGAGCTCTGGAAAAAATTAAAAGCACTAAAGTACGAAACAAATTTTAAGTATACGAAACAAAAAACAATATTCTTAAATGGGAAAAATACTTTTTTAATATGGAAACGAAAACAGAGTGGAATAGTTAAACAATAGTTTTTAGAGGAACAAATGGAAAAGGTTGCAGGCAAAAATACCAATTGACTATTTGCTTTATGATTTTTTTTTCGTTTATTCACATTGTAGTTTTTTCCAGAAACTGGAGACCATTATGATTCTAGATATTATTTTTCAGTAAGTTTAACCCCTTCAAAAAAGGCTTAATAGGCTTCTTTGCCATGGGCAGATCGTCGGCCGTTGTAGATACATAAGAAAAAAATACAGATCGTATATTTTCTTATATAAAAGAATTTCTATTCTATAAGCCTTCTGGCCAAAACTGTCTCGTTTCTTTGAGTTTTAGCCATCTGTTCTCGCCATTATTTTCTTTCTTTTTTTGATTCAGAACCCTTGTAGGACTGCTTGAGTCGTAGTATTTGTTCCTATATGTTTGAAGTTTCGTAAACTTAAATTTAAATAAGGTAATAGGATTTATATTTTAAAGTCAAATTTCTAAAGTAGCTGCAAAAGGATTAAAATGCATAAAAACTATATTAGTATATTCACCCGTTTTTTAAATTCTATGAAATGTTCACTATTTTTCTCAGAATAAATGGAATTTAAACACAACACATTTAGGAAAATATATTAGTTTGAGCATGAGAGATAATTGAGAACACAGTTAGTTAACGTTAAATCAGTTGCATTGCGAAAAATAAATATGATCATTTGGTTAACGCAATAGCAAAAAGCATTAAGTTCCTTAAAAGAGAGACCATAATTTAAAGGAAAGTGTATAATTAATTTAATGAAGTTCTAAAATGACATTACATCATAATATAGATTACATGAAAAAGCTATTCTAATCCATTAAATTAAGTTCTTGAGTAGTGAGTTATTTTTTCTTAAAAAGAAATTTTTTACAATATTTGTGTATAAATTTCTTTTGATCCTTTAATTAGTATCTGAAATTAAGTTTTAATTAGTACCTGAACTTCTTTTTAAGATCAATCAACTGAATAGTGCTCTCTTAAAATGAAAGAGTTATTTCCCCTACTCAAAAAAGAGTTAAATTTTTTTAACTCAACTTGAGTGAAACACATTCTTATTTGAGCGAAATTCTTACCTTGCGTTTACTCAAACTTGAGTGGTATTTATTAAGCAATATTTGAGTGCTTTTAGCTCAAACTTGAGTGATTTATTTAATATTTAATTGCGTGCGAAATATAAGCTGGAATTTCTATCGCTTTATTTTAAAAAGCAAACAATAATAAATTTAAATAAAATTGTTATGTTCTGTGATCTAAATAGATTATGTCTTCGTTTTTATTTTACGTTTAATTTTTTTTTCTGGAGAATATGTCATTTAATATTTTGAATTAAGAAGAATTAAAACAACTTTTAGTTCACAGCGGTATTTCTGAAGAAGACGCTGTTTTACTTTTCAGTAAGTAGATATACTTTGTTGTTTTTATTTTGAAAATACTTTTATTTTGAATGTGTTATATACACATTCCATTTAAATTAGCTGTTTTTCAGCGTTTTTTAATAAAATACTATTCATTTAAATTATTTGTCAAAAAAATTTATTAAAATTGAAAGTGTTAAATGTGGA